ATATTATAAATATATGATAATCATATGATAATAATATGATAAACATATTTTACAAAAAACTAAAGTTTCAGTAAAGTTTATATTGTAAGTATTCTTAAAATGAACTGACTAGCAAAGACATACTGATTTGCTCTCTCTTCAATAATTGTAATGTTTCCAAATTACATTTATTTAGTGTTGAGTGTCAACAAGTTCGAATCAATATACATAAAAAAATTACGCGACCTATTTTAATGGATTCTTTCACTAGGAAATCTGCATGCTGATTAACTTCGATTAGGATGAACTGATGATAGTCAATCACCTTATATAAGCAACAAATGACATTCACCTGATCTAAACTACAACTTTATTAAGTCAATCTGATACGTATTAAAAAAAACTAGTCATAATAGTCTAAATTTTATTTTCTTTTAGTACGTAAAAAAATGAACGAAACACTTTATATACCCAATTTTTATCATTATGGGAAAAATAAAATTCCGAGATAGGCCTCCGGGGTATTAGGTAAGGGAAAATCATATATGCCTATTATAAATTATATATTAATCATACACATGTTTCAGTGTTATCGTTACGTTTTATTTACGAAATTCATTCAAATACGTATCTGAAATAGGTGACACCGTACCGTAAATAATAGTGTATATAATAGTAATAAACAAATCAGGGATCTTTCCATTGACCGTATCGGCATTTTTCTATCTTGTTTGTTTTTTTATAAAGTACCACATTTGGCATTTGTATCATCGTAATATTTTAGTGAAATTCATTAATGAATATTATTAACTGGATAGATCGAATGGTTGGTTGCGATTATGAGTATCAAACTTATGAGCGCTGAAATATGTGATCTTTCTACGTGTACAGTATTTAAAAAACGGTTTGCTGTGAATCTTTGATCTTCATATTTGATATTTACATAGCGATAGTATAATTAATTCAATAATTGTTTAATATTAAAAATTAGACTCAACATAGATACAAAAATTTCATACTGTTGGTAATTTTTTTTGGTTTGTTTTGTAAATCTGGTTTGATTTGCGATGGACGGTGATGGTCGATTAAATTTTTGACATCGGAATTTTTTTTTGCGATAAGGGTCTCGTCTGGCATCCAATTTATTCTCCGATATTTAAACGATTGCGTGAGATTAACATATTTATATTTTTCAGTGTGACTCATTTATTTAATGATTATAATATTGCTTTTATTGGTAAAGTAAATTTTTAACGGATAAAATTCAAGTCTCTTTTCTTTAATATCGTATTTCCCAATTTATTTTTGAGTCATGCGGAAAGCAACAACAACAACTTTTATTTTTTGTCCAACTTGGTAAGGAGGTGCAGCAAGGTTTTATGATTCTCATGAATAATATGGTTTGACTTCCTTTGTTATAGCCGTAATATGTTGCGGCCATCGGTTGATGCCGATGACAAACAACTTTACTATCGATGCAGCGCTTGTAGTTATAAACATTTGGCTGAAAATGATGAATGCCTAGTTCGTTTCAAAGAAGTGAAGCCTCCATCAAAGTAAATTCTGAATATTATGTTTCATTTGCGATTTTATATGAGAAAATTAATATTAGATTGGATGTGACGCGTGACAATTTAGTTACCTTAAAGAAAAGAGACTTGAATTTTATCCGTTAAAAATTTACTTTACCAATAAAAGCAATATTATAATCATTA